GGTGATGTATTTATCGCTGCATGTACAGATAGTTGAATTTAATACACTGTGCTGAAATTATCTATTCATCCTTGTGATCAGATAAAGAGCGGTATTTACTGAAACGTACTGCTTCTTAAGGAAATAAGTCATTGTTCAAAGAGACTAACAACCTCGTTCCGTTTGTTCGTATTAAACAAAGCTACGAGGCAACCTATGGAGATTGTTGTGTGGAAATGAAAATCGTGATAGAGATGTAATTTATGAACTTGCCCATCCGGCTTCGACTCAGGTGTTTATTCCCGTTCCCACTGATACATATCAATAACAGAGAACTATTTGTGACATGACTGACAAGCGATGCCACAACCCTTCAAGCGATATATAATAAATAATAGAACAAGAAAAGTCCCATCAAATATTTCTTGCCTGTTGTATTTTGTCCATAATATTATATAACGCGTGTACACAGGAGTAGCACACACGTTAACTTACGTTATTCATAGTTAGATGTAAACATAAGTTCGGTAAGTTCCAAGAACCCGACGCATAATGGTTTGTGAGTAAAAGGATTTCACTTGGTCTCTGTATTAAGCTGACACACAGTGATGTACATGATATAACTCAGTTTGGAGCACTCAGTCACTAACTCCCTCACTCATTCGCCCACGCACTTACTCACCCACTCACGTACGCACACACAACATCTACAAATACGTTTAGGCATTCCTCTCGATAATGTCAACAAGATAAGACAAAGTCAGATACTATGGAACGTCAGTGTGCCAAATGCACAGATATAGATGGCGGCACAGACCTTAGATACAAGGATTTTTTAATTTTTTTATATTTTTTTTAGTATACCTGAAACTTCAAACAAAAAATCCTTGGATGAGGAGTAACTTTTTTTTTAAATCCATCGATAACACTTTTAGCTTTTTTGAGACAAAGTAAAAGTGTACGTGTCCTATTACTTACCGTGCAATTGTTGCCCTGTTGTGTCTACCTAAGTTGAACCTATGCTTTGGGGCTCGTGTTCATTATCATTGGGTACGCAGTGGAATGTTGTCCTAGCACATGATATAGAATTGGGCAAGTTTACCAGAAAAGTAATATTTCAGAGTATCGTTGTGTCCGTCAGTCACATGGACGGTTCTGCCTGAAACATTGTATCTGTTATTAAGGCTTCAGTGAGTACTAGGGTTGGTTTTAGTTGGACTAGAGACCATTTTGAAGAACTCATGCTCAGAAAGCAAACAGCACTGTGCTTGTTTTGTCCCGTGCAGCAAACGACACGCAGTTTTGCCGATACTGCTTTACCTATCTTCTATAACGTAAGGTGGAGTTTAGAAACATAAGTGAAAGTCATATGCATGGGTTTGTTTTCAAACATTGAATGTCGTCGTGTGTGGTCTCACGAACACCTAGTATCATCACTAATTCATAGCAATTCATAAACACATGCTCTGTTATCGTATCGCATGGTGACAATCACTGGAGCTTGCACGTGTCTTTTGAGATGTCAGACTACGTTTTACGGCCACTACTAGTTGTGACGCTTTCGTTGAAGGACGAAGAGGTATTACCCAAGTCAAAAGGTTACTTTTCCTCATTGCCATAGAATATGCCACACAACTCTTTGAACAGCTGAGATGTGACACGTTGGTTTGGGAAATAAACCCAGACTGAGTGGTATTTCCTAACTGAAGCCCATGGTTCCTAGTATGGTGATCTACCTTTGGTTGTTGGCGATCAATAGCCTGTTTTTATATTGTATCGTCTTGTAAATGTCTTAGATTTAGTTACTAGTTTTATATCTATATCTGTGATAATCTAGTTGTTCTACTGTCCTTCGTTGGCAGAATTTTATAATTTAACTTAAATTGTTGATATATTTTTAACTTGCTTTAGTCACGATATGGCTGAAATATTGCCGATGTGACCTAAAATCATAACTCACTCACTCCTAACTGAAGCAGATTCATTTATACTTGTTTTCATGAGCTATGTTGATGTCACTAGGATCCTCCATACATCCATGTTTCTATACTTGCAGGAAGAGTGTTTAAACTTAATTCAACAGTTGTCAAATTGCCCCAGTGTAGTACTCGGTTATTTACCCCAGTGTCACTGTCTCCTATTTACCCTAGTGTCGCTGTCTCCTATTTACCCCAGTGTCACTGTCTCCTATTTGCCCCTGTGTCAATGACTCCTATTTACCCCAGTGTCGCTTTCTCCTATCTACCCATGTGTCGCTGTCTTTTATTTGCCCCAGTGTCGCTGTCTATTATTTACACCAGCGTTGATGTCTCCTATTTACCACAGTGTCGCTGTCTCCTATTTACGCAAGTGTTGCTGTCTCCTATTTACCCAAGTGTTGCTGTCTTCTATTTGCCCCAGTGTCACTGTCTCCTATTTACCCCAGTGTCGCTGTCTCCTATTTACCACAGTGCTGCTGTATCCTATATGCCTCAGTGTCGCTGTCTCCTATTTGACCCAGTGTCGCCTTTTTCCTGTTTGCCCCACTGTCGATGTCTCCTATTTACCCCTTTTTTGCTATCTCATATTTACCAAAGTGCTGTTGTCTCCTGTTTGCCCTTGTGTCACTGTCTCCTATTTGCCACAATGTCGCTGTCTCTCATTTACTCCAGTGTCGCTGTTTCCTATTTATCCCAGTGTTGCTGCCCCCTATTTACCCCAGTGTCGCTGTCTCCTATTTACCGAAGTGTCACTGTCTCCTATTTACCCATGTGTCGCTGTTTCCTATTTACACCAGTGTCGCTGTCTCCTATTCACCCATGTGTCGCTGTCTCCTATTTACTTCAGTGTCGCTGTCTCCTATTTACAGTAGTGTCGCTGTCGTCTATTTGCCCCATTGTCGCTGTCTTCTATTTACCCCAGTGTCACTGACTCCTATTTGCCCCAGTGTCGCTGTCTCCTGTTTGCCCCAATGTCGCCGTATCCTATTTGCTCAAGTGTTGCTGTCTCCTATTTGCCCCAATGTTGCTCTCTCATATTTACCCCAGTGTCATTATCCTATTTACCCAAGTGTCGCTGTCTCCTATTTACCCAAGTGTCGCTGTCTCCTATTTACGCAAGTGTTGCTGTCTCCTATTTACCACAGTGCTGCTGTCTCCTAGTAATGTATGTCACTATCTCCTGTTTGCCCAAGTGTCGCTGTCTCCTATTTACCCAAGCGTCGCTGTTTCCTGTTTGCCCCAGTGTCGCAGTCTCCTATTTTCCACAGTGTCACTGTCTCCTATTTACCCAAGTGTCGCTGTCTCCTATTTGGCAAAGGGTCGCTGTCTCCTATTTACAGCAGTGTCGCTGTCGTCTATTTGCCCCATTGTCGCTGTCTCCTATTTGCCCCAGTGTCGCTGTCTCCTGTTTACCCCAATGTCGCTGTCTCCTATTTGTTCAAGTGTTGCCGTCTCCTGTTTGTCCCAGTGTCGCTGTCTCCTATTTGCGCCAGTGTTGCTGTCTTCTATTTACCTAAGTGTCGCTGTCTCCTATTTACACAAGTGTTGCTGTCTCATATTTGCCACAGTGTTGCTGTCTCCTATTTGCCCCAGCGTCACTGTCTCCTATTTGCCCCAGTGTCACTGTCTCCTATTTACCCCAATGTCGCTGTCTCCTATTTCCCCAGTGTCACTGTTTCCTATTTACCCCAGTGTCGTTGTCTCCTATTTACCCCAGTGCTGCTGTCTCCTATCTCCTTCAGTGTCGCTGTCTCCTATTTACCCCAGTGTCACTGTGTCATATTTACCCCGATGTCGCTGTCTCCTATTTGCCCCAGTCTCACCGTCTCCTATTTACCCCAGTGGCGCTGTCTCCTGTTTACCCCAGCGTCGCTGTCTCCTATCTACTTCAGTGTTGCTGTCTCATATTTACCCCAGTGTGGCTGTCTCCTATTTACCCAAGTGTCGCTGTCTCCTATTTACGCAAGAGTTGCTGTCTCATATTTAGCACAGTGCTGCTGTCTCCTAGTTATGTATGTCACTATCTCCTGTTTGCCCAAGTGTCGCTGTCTCCTATTTACCCCAGCGTCGCTGTCTCCTGTTTGCCCCAGTGTCACTGTCTCCTATTTGCCCTAGTGTCGCTCTCTCCTTTTTACCCAAGTGTTGCTGTCTCCTATTTACCACAGTGTCGCTGTCTCCTATTTACCCAAGTGTCGCTGTCTCGTATTTACCCAAGTGTTGCTGTCTCCTATTGGCCCCAGTGTCACTGTTTCCTATTTGCCCCAATGTATCTGTGTCCTATTTACCCCAGTGTCGCTGTTTCCTATTTACCCCATTGTCGCTGTCTCCTATTTACCACAGTTATGCTGTCTCCTATTTGCCCCAGTGTCGCTGTCTCCTATTTACCCCACCGGCCTATCACAAACCAAAACATCATTAGAGAGAGATCACATTACAATTGCAAAATATTACATCAAAGAGTGAGTGAATGAAGAACACGTATAGACACAGTTTCTGACATATAGCAAATTGTGTTATAGGGAAATGTCCTGGTCCAATACGTGAATAAACGTACATAGATCGTAAAAGTTATAGTAAAACTGTAAAACTGTCGCTTCGTCACTAAACTACTAGATTACTGAAACACCCAAAACAAGATTTCTTTTAGGGTATATCTGCGCGTAACGTGGCTTGTTTACGATGTCCATATCATAACTTGCAATACAGGAACAAGCTATATTGAGATTGTCTTGCGTATGCAGTGGTTCATGATAGCAAATTTATTATCACACAGATAACCCTCATTGGGACTCTCAATTGGTATTGTTCTTTCAAGAAATCTGCATGATCGATATGCATTGTGTAAAATGTTTCTTCACATGGAGAAGAAATTGATCCCTAAACTTATTCAATATTCAATACAGCAACAGTTCACACGCTTAAGATCAATGCACATTAACATATGGTCAAGTGGAAATGCATGTGCTGCGCCTGTGTTGATGACGTCACAATGTATGTGATGGTCTCATGAATATTCATTATGTGGAATGCTATATATGAGATTGCAACGGTACATATTGGACGTGGGCAGCAACACAGTGACGAGTGAAATATAAGGTGAGATTTATTTTGTTAAATTCAAGTTGGAAAATTTGTTCATTGCATTAGGCATTGTTATTGAACGCTTGTGAACATTTTTATGGAGATTAGAACCGTGTCCTTGTGGCAACGAGTGAACACTCCCTCCTAAACATTTATACATGTGAGCTATTTTACTATCGGGTTCCATGTAACAAAATATACCTTACAGTCTTTGACATTGGAGAAAATGCTACATATACATGTCACATGTCAACTCCGGAACATTTTCTCTCAATGAGTCTATTCCTTTTTGTTTCATTTTCAGATCGACCTTCAATTACTGAGTCGTCAATTGCCTATCCTTGTTCCCGTATTGGTAAGTTTTTCTGCAAATATTGAGAACGTAATGTTGACTTTAGTCACAGTGTCACGAAGCCAGCAAATGGGAGAGTGATACTGAAGACATTTATGGGACATTACCCATGTCGATCCAGCATCATTCGGTGGCAAAATATTTAATAATATAACTTCAAAGAATTTCGATGTCATTGACTAATGACGATTTACATAAGAAATTATACATTCCTATAATTATCTGTCATCTACTTCCACGGATCTTCCATGGAACTATCCGCTCTCCAGTCATCTCCCATGTACGTGCCACACATGAGCACTTGTGTTTTACGTGTCTCTGTAAAAAAATCCCAGGTAACGTGTCCAGGTTTATATGTTATAATTATTCAATCCTAAGATTGGGCAATTTAAAGGACGTACATGCATTCAGCTGGTCAACCAGCCACTAAAAAATGTTTGACATGTGGCAAACTTATGTCGTCGCATGATGCTCATGCTCAGTGCTGAAAGCGGCTTGAGTAGCCATGTTTGTTTGGTTTTATCTCGACGCTATATCTGTCACGCCGGGTCTCTAGGAGCCCTTGAGAAACAGGGCATGGTAGCGAAAAGAGAGAGGAAATTGGCTGTAACACATCCTCGATTCACCGCAAAATTTGCAATCGGCTGACATTCTGACGGACTCGGGGAACATGGCGTCCACTCTGTATGTCTTAATGAAACTACACCCGCCCCACGATCCCAGATACAACGTCACAGAAGCCCTTCAGTTGCCTTGAAACCCTTTGGAGAGCTCATCCAATATTTATCCGAGTGACTGACAGCCATCGCTGAGAGGGAAGAGTCGCCATCTTCAAGTAGGCTAAGTCGTGGCCAGTGCCAATCAGCAACTGTCACCATGACGGAGGAAGACCCGGGCACACTAGACTTCAACTCAGCAGTCACCTTGGTCCAGTGACCAGTCTCCAAATCACCACGATGTAGATGCCGCTTAACGGGCTTCTTGTCCATTGACAGCTATCAACCTTGATCAACCATCGTCAGCACAAGTCATTGCTCACGATTTTCTTTCCTTCCAACCTGAATTTGTCCAAGTCCCCATTGTGTTTTTTCGGTTGACAACAACAGCCGTACAGACCACACCAGCTATAAGGATAGCAGATGATACACTGACCGAGGTGCAGTGCAATCCATCACATCAACTCGTTCATCTTAGAAATATTACCATGGACTGCATGGATCGCAGCAGTCACGTAGACTGCACAGACCACTCGGTCCTTTTAGATAGAAGGAATTCAACCAGGCCTACCACTTGAACAATCTGAACTTATTCATGTACACCTTCCCCGATAAAGTTGCAACCAAGCAAGTTCTTTTTCCTCAAATGTCCGATCACGAGGAATATGCAGGAGATATTGCAATGGCATTAAGCTCTAAGCTCTTCAAGGACTTGAATCAAGGAGGAATTTACCATTGAAATCTCCCTCACTGGACAGAGATTTCAAGGGATGTGCTGTGCCCTCTGGAGCACTGCTCAAGGAGAAAACAATTAGAGAGTTCGACGAGTCCGTCCGTTGAATCAACAACCTTCAATGCCTTAATTACTGACATATTTCTCACGTGAGAAAGATGCTACCCTGTAAGATGGAGGAGGAGGCAGCTTCGGGATCCCTAGTTTCAGCAGCGATGACACTGACACACTAGCTGTTAAACAGAATGATCATCGATCTGAAGATCCTTATCTGGGAATACCCGAGATGACCACACAAGTTCTGATCATCGATCTATATCGGCATCTCTTCACAGATGCTTCTCTCACAGGATGGGGACCTCAACTAGAAGATAAGAAGACAAGGGCTGGGAACTCCACACTTCCAGTTGCCACGGACAACAGCATGATAACTGTATATGTCGACAGACTTAGAAGAACACACTCATGGACCTTACAACCTTACGAGGACACATCCCAGGGAACATCAACAACAAGAGGACGCTTCATCCGGATGTTTTCACGCAGGCAGCAGTCGAATTGGAACAACCTCACATAGATCTGATCCTGACATCACTCAACAATCATTTGCCGACTTATATCAGTCTAGTCCTAGACCTTCATGCCTATGCATTGAACTCCATTTTGTCATCTTGAGAAGGAAAGATTGCCTCTACCCTTCCTCCTATTCATCCCACAAGTCCTAGCTAAGATCATCACATGACAATGTTTCTGTTGGCACCAGGATGGCCAACATGATCAAGGTTCCAAGATTTCTATTGATCTCTCTTCTGATAGACATACATTCACCCTAAGACGGCCTTCCAATGGGCCTATTATAATACCTATGAGTGTAAGCGATTTACACTTGGGACGGATCCGTTTCTTACCACCATGTTACATTCTTTTGAAAAACAAAAAAAATATGAACTGGGATTTGTCTGTGGTTTTGTGGGCTTATTAAGCCATTTTGTTTAGACCATAGATAATAAAAACTCTATCTCATCTTGCATGGAATACTGCATTCCTTATGGCACTGGCCTCAACCTTAAGGATTTCAGAACCGCATTACCTGCATGTAAGATGGCTTGATGTTTCTTGAAACTTCCATCCAGAATCATGATCAGAGCATTACAGGAATTTGGTGTCCGAAACTTTAACCGGAAGTGACGTCAGTTACGTGTTGCTGGAGGTGGTGTGGCTGCTTGTTTGTTTGTGCCACATTGGTCGATCATTGGAAAACAGGAAGAGACTGCAGTACATTGATTGTTTAAAAAAAAACTAGTTTCAGTTATACTTCAAGCAAAATCCTTTGCCTCTTCACCTTATCATCGAACCACTAGTTTAAATGCTCATTGCATGGGCTCAAATTGATCACGTTTTCAGTCTTGGTCACGTGTTTCCACGACAGACAGCCTCCATTCGGGAAGCTATGAGGATGCTACCCTGCCTTTTTTGGGGGACTTGAAAACTACCACGTCCAAAGAGCACCGTTAACATACCCATCTTTTTCGCAACCCTATTTACATTCCCAAGTAATAGCTGATTACTGTCTACTGTCCACACACGGGATCAGTTGACTCTGAGCTGTCATTTTACGCCGATGGAAATATAAACTCTCTGCCTCACGTATGTGTATACCCATTCGAAAAAAAAACAGTCCTGGCCTCACTGGGTCATGATTCAACAAAACAGAAACAATATACCATGCAAAGATTGTACCAACGCTACCAACTGCATCATTACATCCGGCAATGCCCAAGGAAAACACACTTCCCACGGCTGAGAGGGTGGCTCTCTGAAGACGCAATCAGTTGGTGCAATGGTTTGTCATTGTCGCTAGCAATCGGCCAGAAGAGTGAGTCCCTTTGACGACTAAGCAGTCCTGACTGTTGAGGGACCAATATTGCTATTACCCACCTGCCATTCGATGAACGTCTGCGTTACCTGATGCAAGACAGTGGCGTGGTACCTTGGCTGGTGTTTTGACTCGCAGTTTGCTGAACTGACAGTCCTAAATGCAGCAGCAACAACCCTCTCATTGTGAACCACCACGTCAGAGAAAGGAAGCACTAGGCGCAAGTCAACACCCAGGCTGAAAAGACTCACCTAAATCTTAGCAACTGTTGCAGCCCTGAGATATATGGTTTTGAGAAGCCATGTAAAGAAGAAGAAAAAGTCCCTCCCTCGACATTACCTTTACAAGAGACATCCAGCAACTTCCTTGTAAGTTCCACTGTAGTAGCCGTGGCAACAACACCACCAGGTCTCAGTATTTCACAAAGACGCTCTCTGCCGTGCAGTTGATCAGCAAATCCAGGCTATTCTGAAACAGGGCCGTCTGAACTTAGAAAGTGGATTGCCCACCCGGGCCTCTGTGGTGGATGCTTTGATGTCTGGCCTGTTGGGTGAAAGATCATAAATAGAGGGAGCATCATTTGATTCGTTTTATCCCCACCACCATGAAGCATGAACTAAAAAATGGTGAATGGGTAGGGCAAATGGCATTTGCTCAAGTCCAAACTGTTGGAAGAGAAACGGCTCCACACACTTTACGATATAGATACCATAATCCGAGAAGAAAGATAATCAGTATAACACCCTGTTACAGCAGAACTTGGCGTTTCAAGACAAAGCAGCACAACGAACCAAAGCACGACCCCATGAAGGGAGATGAAAATATTGACCAATCAGGAATTAGTTGAAAAGTTACCAAAAGATACCTCCTAGGAGATATGAAGTGATTTCCTTTATATGATGTGAAGCTGAATCATCAGCAAGAGGTAGAAGCATGATGTCTGTAATATCCAGATGTATGTAACTCTTAAGTACTCTGTTGGTACATTGGCTGCATGAAACAAAGATGTTTAGAACATACTGATTATAGAAGGAATAATATCTACAGTTACATAGTTTGCATGGGATTTAGACCAGAGTTAATTCAGATCCATTCTGAATGTTTTACTGTGAGACAAGTAAATGTTTTCCACATATATTAATTCATTCACCTGACGAAGGGACAAGGAAAAGCCAAGATATGTTGTGTATACAGAGGAAAGAAGTTGACATCCATTCTATTTACTAAATATTCTGTATGCTCTTTTGGGTCTGCCTGATCACCAGATTTGCATGATGAAATATTCATTCCAATATTCCAAGACTCCGAAAAAATGACAGTGTCAAGGTAACATACTACAAGCAAATCACTTTAGAATTTATAAAAACAACGTGGTAATCCTAAAGCCTTTCCATTTTTATGGCTTAAGAAAACTCTCTGTCTGGAACTTCTCCGATAAAAGATCACCAGTGAAAGACAATTCATTACCATGGTCACAGGTATGAGAATCTATGAAGTCCTTTACAAAACAAACTTTGACTCAGCAACAGCACCTACATTGAACAGGTTTCGGAAATACATGGGTATCAAGTGTTATTGTATTCAGTAGAGACCCACGATGTAAAGGCTGTTTCAAGCTATTCCAGAACCTTCCTAATCCCCATATAATGAAACTTCCATAATATCTCCACTCAGTTTA